AATTTGTTATAGGGTCTTGTGTTTATGTCTCTCTCTCTCTGTGTGGGGGGGTGTGGGTGTATGCACAGATTATACTATTCACCTTGAATAGAATTACTTCCTCCTGTTTCCTGAAGTACCCAATCCAGAGCAAAGCTCCTAAATCATCTTATACAAGCTCAGCTCTTGAAAGTCTCTTCTACGCAGTTCTCCACTCCTCAAATGCTTGCAACAGCCGGGGCTGGGCCAAGCCAAAGCTGGAAGCCAGTAATGCCATACGGGTCTTCTACGTGGGCGGCATAGAGCCAATTACTGGAGCAATATTCTGTTGCCTGCCAAGATGTATATTAGCAGGAACCTGGATTGGAAGTGGAATAGCTGGGATTCAAACTAGGCACTGAGATTGGGATGTGAGTGTCACAGGCAATGGCTTACCCACTGTCACAGAGCCTGCCCAAAGCATCACTCAATTTGTGAAGTTTCTTTCTATTCCTAGTTTTCCAGGTTTTTAATCATTAATTGAAGATAAATTTTACCAAATAGACTTAATGCATTCCTTTAAATAATTACATGATTTCTTCGCCTATTTTGTATTTTCATAATACAGTGAATTTTATCGAAAATTTTAAACTGTCCTTGCCTTCCATAATTATATTTTCAAAAAATATTTGGCAATTTTTAATATTTTACCTTATTCACTTCATATGTGTGTGCTCCTCGGCTGCTCTCCAGCCAGAGGCCTGCTCGCTGCCATTTCCCTGTGTCCTAGATCTAATCCGTTTCTTTTCCTTCAGCCTCAGGTGGGCCTGCCCCCAGGATGCAGACCTTCATCAAAACCCTATGGGGTGGGAGACCAGGAAAAGCACCTGGCTCCTGGCTCCTGCCATCGGATCAGCGCGGTGCGCCGGCCGCAGCGCGCCGGCCGCGGCAGCCATTGGAGGGTGAACCAACGGCAAAAGGAAGACCTTTCTCTCTGTCTCTCTCTCTCACTGTCCACTCTGCCTGTCAAAAAAAAAAAAAAAAAAAAAAAAAAAAAAAAAACACCCTATGGGGAAGACCATCATACTCAAGGAATCCTTCCTGATCAACAAAGATTGATCTTTGCTGGTAAGCAACTGGAAGGTGGATGGACTTTATCTGACTACAACATTCAAAACAGTCCACTCTTTACCTTGTGTTGAGACTTCATCGTGGTGCCAAGAAAAGCGAGAAGTCATAAACCACTCCCAAAAAGAATAAGCATGAAAGAAAGAAGGTTAAGCTGGCTGTCCCAAAGTACTATGAGGTGGACGAGAATGGCAAAACCAGTCTCTGTCACAAATGCCCTTCAGATGAATGTGCCGCTGGAGTGCTTGTGGCCAGCCAGTCTGACAGACAACATTGTGGCAAATGTTGTCTGACTCACTGCTTCAACAAACCAGAAGACAAGGAATTGTATATAAGGAGTTAATAAATAAAAGACATTAACATAAAGAAGAATCATCATATGGGATTCATGAAGAGCAAAGAGGGGTTTGTTTAATTATGTAAGGGGTATAATTCAGTCAGGATATTTACGAAATCTATATACCAAATAATATGTATTCACACTTCTTTATACTATATATATAGATATAGATATAGATAGACAGATACACACACACACAATTCTACAATTGAGAAAAAATGTGGAATTTGTCTTTCTGATGTCTAGCTTTTTTCACTTAGCATAATAATCTCAGATTTCAGTAATTTCTTTGCAAATGTTAGGATTTTATTCTTTTTTTATGGCTGAATAATATTCCACCAGGTATATCTACTACATTTTCTTTATCCAGTCACCAGCTGATAAAGTCTAGGCTGATTCCATATCTTTGCTATTTGCTATTGTGAACTGGGCTACAATAGATAAGATAGTGCAGGTATCTCCTTCATATGCTGACTTCACATTCTTTTGATATATTCCCAGACGTGGGATAGCTGTGACACATGGTAAATCTATTTTTAGTATTCTGAGCAATCTCCATACTGTTTTCCACAATGGCTGTCCTATCCTGTATCCCCACCAACACTGTAACAGGGTTCCTCTTTCTATACATCCTCACCATCACTATTGTCAGAGTTCCAAAATGTGTAACTGAAAGGGACCCATACTTTTTTTCCTGGCACTATTCATTTGGAATTACAGTTACAGAATCCTTATAAAATTAGCCAGACAACTCTTTTCCACAGCCCTACTTTTTAAATTTTTGAATAGCCACATGAGACAGGAGCTACATCCCCTGCAAATTTGGTAGGAATACCCTGCAAAAGTATTTAGCTTGAGAAGGTATGTTTGCACATTTAGATGTCTGTTTACATTTCTGGGGGACAGCTTGGATTATCAATTCCATTTCTTTGACAAACAAAAACTTAAGTTTTCTATTTCTCTACAAATTTACTTTTTGCTTTCAGTCCAGTAGTTTCAGACAAAGACATCAACCACAGGGAGGTTTTTGGCAACTAAAATTCTTGATACAAATGAGATTCTTCAATACTGTAGCTAGACTTCACCTTAAGGTATAGGAGCTGATCATACAGTGTCTCTTTAATATGAGTTGTCAGTATATATGTACTGAAACTTTGCCAGAGACCAGCTCCAGCCAGTCCAGGGGCCCCAGGTGTGAGAGGTGTCGGCGCTCGAAGAAATGAGAGACACTCACAGCAAGGCTGATGGTATGGCTCTGGCTCTCGAGCACCAGACTTTATTTTTATATCATAAGCCACACAATGATTTTTTCTTCTTACAATGAAAAGCCTGTTGTCCATTTTTTCTAATTACAATTTTTTTTGATTTTCAAGTACATATTTAGAGCATGGCTAACAATCACAGAGAGGTGCAAGTTAACAGGCTGCCCACACAAGCCAAGGCCTTGAGTGCTGCTGAACTATGCAGAAATTGGCTGCATAAGCCAGAATAGTACCTTCCTAATCTAATCTTTACTAGAAGCCCCAAGTTCAAAGCAGACCCTTTTTAAAATGTATCCCCTCTTTGCAGTTCTTTCTGTAATTTTTTAATTTCTTTATTGCACTTATTTAAAGGTTAACTTAGCTCTATTCTACAGTTTTGACATCCTAACCATTATAGTATTTGTAGCATATAGTGAATTAAAGCTTTATTAATATCTATCTTTATTCTAGTGGGAAGTATATACCAGAGAGCCTGTTGCCTTTTAATTCTTTTCTACAAACAGCTCAACCTTGCATAAGGCATTAACCCTTTCTTCTACACTAACATTCTGCTTGATTAAAATTCTACAAGGCAATGGACATTTTGAAGGTTATGAGACTAAGTGCTCTTCCGTAAAATTCGGAATACAGCAATCATTAGCAGGACCACCAGGAAGCTCCAGCTTGTAGTTCCCATCAAACCTAAAACAACCAAGAGGACCGCAGCTGTCCTTCTCACGCCTTGCTGAGACAGACCTTCTGCTGTGATCTTGTCAGCCAGCTGAAGTTGCCTTGGCCTCGTCAAAACTTCACATTCTACTCCATAAATTCACACAATTATTATGTGCCACCAATTAAAAATTGATCTGTTCTCATATGGACATCAGCTTCAGTACTGTGAACCAACATGGCAAAATCTTAATAAGAAAATATTCTGAGCATTTATACTTCAAAAATAGGAAACAGTGCTTTTCTGAAGAGATATAAATAAGTGAACTAACTAAACCAAAGAACATTTTCTGAAGGTCCCTTAGAGTAGATGGGAATTGTTTTGTCTCTGAACCTGTTACCGAATCTCTATCATTTTGATAATCTAAGTCAATGCTCCGCTTTTATAGATTATAGAAGATAAGAACTCAGTTTAGGTACAGATTAAAGAGGCAACCTTAAAGAGGCAACCGTTCACTAAAGATCTGAAATGTTATTAGGAGTACACTTTGATGGGTAAGTTTAGGATTTCTGGATAATTAAGACTAATGAAAGCCTTCAAAGATATGCAGCTAATTTATCATGCAAGGACTATTAAACTGACACGGTGAATCTCTTTCTCATGGTCTCAATGACTACATTATTTAATATAAGTTTTGTATGCTCCTCTATAGGGCCAAAACAGCATTTTTATAAACTGTTGGATAAATGCTGACGTGCTTCTTACTTTGTTTATCAGAGAACTCAGGCCAAAAAGGCACTAATTAGAGAAGTTCTGCTACACATTGTTTATGTACTAATTACCCTACTTCCTAAACCAAATATTTCAAGAAGTATCAAGAATGCCTGGCAAAAAGCCACTGGTTGCAGCATCAAGTATGCTGCATTACAAACAAAAAGAACAGTACACTCTGGAAAAAAATAAAAGTTAATAACTGATAAATAAAGTGTGATGAAGAAGACAACCGTGTTTCATAGGATATGACAAGCATTATTATATTAACTAGCATAAGTATTCTATTTTATTAAATGTTCAGACTTCTAAATTAAAGAGAAAATTGAAATATAGAAACAAAAATGTTACATGTAGTAAAGTTAATTGTTATTCTCAAGGCATATATATGTAAAATATATAAAGTCAAGGCATTTTTGTGGAAAATATTTATATTATATAACATACAAATTAAAATATTTATGAGAAATGTTAGGAAAAATATTTATAGATAAGTACAGGTTAGTATTGCAAAGTCCTACTTTCAACTCAATTTTAATCTTTATACAATGCTTTCTACATGCTAGACACAAGAAGCATGTTTCTTGCCTTGAAAGAGCTTGAACTCTAATGGGGAAGGTGGACAATCAACCAAGCAAATAAAATAATGTAATAAATGTTATGAAGGAGGAAAACAGTAGCCCAGAGAATACAAGATTTATAGAATATAGGATTTAATATAGGATTTATAGAATATAGGATTTAATTCCTTGCCTTTCTGTTAACAAATAAGTCAATTTTAGAAACAAGTAGTTTATAGAACTCTCCTACCTTTTCCTCTCTTTTCTCCTTGAGTGTATATGTTTCTCACTCTCTTGCCCATTCCTCTCATTTTCCTTTCTTTCTTGCTCAATTCTTTTTTTTTTTTTTTTTTTTTTTTTTTGACAGGCAGAGTGGACAGTGAGAGAGAGACAGAGACAAAGGTCTTCCTTTGCCATTGGTTCACTCTCCAATGGCCGCTGCGCTGCGACCGGCGCACTGCGCTGATCCAATGGCAGGAGCCAGGTACTTATCCTGGTCTCCCCCAGTGCAGGGCCCAAGGACTTGGGCCATCCTCCACTGCACTCCCTGGCCACAGCAGAGAGCTGGCCTGGAAGAGGGGCAACTGGGACAGAATCCGGCGCCCCGACCGGGACTAGAACCCGGTGTGCCTGCGCCGCAAGGCGGAGGATTAGCCTAGTGAGCCACGGCGCTGGCCTCTTGCTCAATTCTTGTGCTTTTACCTTATCTTTTTTCCTACTTTGCTATAATGTGATACATTAAAAATAATTATAATAGGCTTATTACATGCAACATTGTTCTAAGTTTTACATGCATTAACTTCATTAATTGTTCCCCAAATCTATGAGGTAGGCATCAATATCACTTCTATGTTACATAGAAACTGAGGTACAAAGGGTAAAGGGTAGAGCTGGAATCTTTTCACTGCTGGTGTGGCCGAGGTCATACTCTAAATTTAAAACCACAGCCAACAATACATTCAGAAATTACCAGGTACTGTTCTAATTATTCTCTTGTGATTTATTTAAGCCTCACAATGACTTTAACGTTTAGCAGGTAGATTAATAATCCCATTTTAAGTGTAAGGACATTAAGACAGAATGGGTTGCTCAGTCATATAACTAAGAGTGAAAAAACCATTTAAGAAATAGAATTTTTGAAAAAAGAAATGGAAATTATTTTTATGAGGCCACATTCTCATGGTCAAGACTTTGGAGAAAGTAAAAGTTCTCTGCTTTAAACTATGAAATCTGCCTTAATGCAATGTCATCAAAAATAGCTTCCTGTCTTTAAGTAAAAAGGAATAAACAGCCATCTCTGCCTCAGCATTTTCATATGTGCTCAATAATTGAATGAATCACCCAAAGCTGATTTGTATTTTTTCTACATTCTTCGTATTACCACAAGAAACTCAGGTAACAGCACATCAAAATGAGGTACAGGATCACATTATCAGTTATTTACAGACAAAATCCAGCGAGTAAGACAGAAGTGAACCCTCTTCATAACTGCATGTTTTCTATCAAAAAAGTATATACAACTCACAGATACCTCAGTGTAAGCTTTTATACTTGCTTCCCTGAATGTAGGCATTGCTGACTGAGGCATACAAAAATTAATAGACACACAGTGTCATTACTTGTATAGAACTGTAAACATAAAAAACTCCAAAAAAATTCTAATTCAAAATCTGGTTTTCTGAAGTCTGAAGTAAATGTCTCTTGAATGATGGAGAGAAGCCCTCTTAGAATGCCAGAGCACATACTAGTTCAAAAGCACATCGAAATTGAGATTAGGAAAAGGAGGTAATTAGCGCTTGCAGCTTTGTTTAGGGTTATTACTGCCAACGACTAAGAGTAGTCAGAGAGTACACGCAATCAGTCCTTGCACATTATAATTAGATGATGGGAAGGACAGACATTTATAGCATAACAATTTAAAATATTACAATTGTGAGAAATGACCAAATGAACCCATGAGATTTCTCCAATCGAACATTTTTGCTACCTCTGGAATTAACCCCTGTGACCTAAATGCTTTCTAAAGCACTGTTTGAGAGAAGTTCTCCAGGGTTAATATTTTAAATTTGTACCTATGCGCCATTCCCACCCTATACCAAAGCCTAGACCTATATGCACAGCCAGGTATCCTGACCTGAAAACAGTGTGGCATCTGGTACAATTAGTATGCTGGATGTGGAACGGTGAATATTAAGGCAGAATTATTTCCTCTGCATTATCCCTCCGGTTTCTGAGATGACAATAGAAAAACTTGTAGAAAAGACACGATCCAAATTCAGTTCTCAAATTTCAACTTGGTCCTTAATACTTGTAATTTGGATGAATACTTGGTATCTTATGAGTCCATCTGCCCTGGCCTCATGGTGAACCCAAACCCCTTCTACATCTTTCAAAGCTTCAATGACATCCCCTGTCTATCAAAGCTGACTTGGTGCATCACGTGCTAATCCATTCATCAAATTTCAAAATTCCTCCTTCTGTGACCCATTATTCCAAAATATAGGAAAAGCTCACTTGTGCTTTCTCTCTCCCTCACTATTCCCACTCATCCTTATCCCCCTCCAGTCCACAACTCCAACACATCAAGATGGTACATTTCATCAATGTCTCCCTCATCTCCCAGAATGCTTTCAATTCAACAAACATGTGTTAAACACCTACCTAGCTGTAAGGCTAGCATACAGACATCAATAACTAACACATAGTAACAATTATCTTCAAAAACTCTCCGTCTTCATTCTTCGTGAGGCCAATGTTTTTACTAAGACATTATCTATGCAGAGCTCACAGTCCAACATAAGTTGTATCCTCATATAGCTTTTCTAGATCATTTCAGTTTAGAATCATCTCTCCTGTGCTGTTCTAATCATGTCACTAACCAGAAACTGTACTATAATGTCTCTGTAACCTTTTGTATATTCTATATATTTCGCATATCCATTTGTGTAAGAGAAAAGGGTTTAGGCTTTAAAGTTAGATGGAATAAGACTTAAAGCCAGGCTCTGTCTCATTGAGAATGCATGATCTCTGACAAAGGATTAACCTTCACTGGGGCTTACAGAATTATTGTGGTCATTAATAATTTAACATATAGGTCACCTTAGGTTGATATTATTTCTTATGGGACACTGACAAAAATTTTACAGCATGTAAATACAGAAGAATTTAATAAGCCCATTTCTTCACTGTATTTTCATTGTATATGCAAGCATTGAAAATAAAAATAGAAAATTATCATAACCTTTTAAAAAGTCATTCAAGGAATTTAAGGGATTTTTATATACACCTTTACATACTGAACTTCTGTTGTGATATCTGTTATGTTATGGTTCTTGTGAATCTAAGTAAATTACTATCTTAATTATGATTAATGTGGTTGTCTTTTTACAGCATATACTCCAATTTGAGCTTTTTCTTTCATCACAAGCTGTGAGCCAATGGCTGGCTAACTGCAAGGAGGCCTGTTCCTTCCACATGATTGGCTAATTCAGTGAGAGGCTTACTGCTTGTTTCTTGCTAAGAACCACACTGACAGCTTTGTGCCTATATGCATGAAAAGTTTGGATCTGAGACCTCTCCCTTCAAGGTTGGTATCTGAAAGGTAAGATAATACATCGTCTGAAGCCGTACATATTGGTGCCTTCTTTTGTCATCTGTGACACATCTCACTGTGACTGCACTCCACACACAATATGAAAAGCCATCAGCCATCAGCTGTGGGAGGCTCTGCTGGGGTAAAAAGCCCTTTACTTCACTGCTGACTGCTTTGACAGTCCCAGAGCCATCCAGCACCACCTTGAAGGGCTGTGTTTTCCTGAGCCAATTGGAAAATTTCCTCTCTAGACACATGATATTTGTTTATCATTCTATGTGAATAATTTTCATGCTTATTTTCAATATTCTTCCTGCTTATTTTGCTTTTCTGTGTATTGCAAGAAGGCAATTAATTTGTAACTATCTTTGATTCACTTGGCTTGACGTGACCCTTTGGGAAAACTTAATAATCCTTGAGGTTGAAATTGTCACCAGGTATTGAGGAAACCAGGCCCCCTAGCTGGCTCAGAGTGACAACTTTGAACAAGAAGAAGCTATTACTTTATTTTCCCCTAACCCACACTGAAGGTGCAACCTGCTGACAATGTTAGAAGGAGACAGGTGGTTTCTGTCGCATTGCTGCAGCTTTAGCGCTGCATTCGCTGTATTTACTAAATTGGAATAGCATTATCATTATCCAACTAGATGTTTACCAACTGAGAACAGGCACTGTTTTACATGGCTGAAAACTCATGAATTTGCTTAACTGTAAGCAGGTATTACTCTAAAACAAATCATGTCCTAAGAATCTAAACTGAATGAAGAGACAAAATGAAACCCAGAATTGGCTTAAGTTACTCAACAGATAACAGATAATATTTATGATAATACCAATTTTTAATTTCCATTGAAAGTTATCATATATAACTTAATATTTACATCTTTTAGTATATAAAAATGAATCTTTGGGCCAGCGCCATGGCTCACTAGGCTAATCCTCCACCTGCAGCGGCAAAACCCCGGATTCTAGTCCCAGTTGGGGCGCTGGATTCTATCTCAGTTTCTCCTCTTCCAGTCCAGCTCTCTGCTGTGGCCCAGGAGTGCAGTAGAGGATGGGCTAGGTCCTTGGGCCCTGCATCCGCATGGGAGACCAGGAGGAAGCACCTGGCTCCTGGCTTCAGATCGACGCAGCACGCCAGCCGCAATGTGCCAGTTGTAGTGGTCACTTGGGGGGTGAACCAATGGAAAAAGGAAGACCTTTCTCTCTGTCTCTCTCTTCCTCACTGTCTAACTCAGCCTGTCAAAAAAAAAAAAAAAAAAAAAAAAGAATCTTTGGATTTTCACTAAACAAACTTTAGAGAAAATGACTTACAAAATGATAGAATGTTTGTTACATCTTAAGTGACTTCTATCTTAAAACACTAAAAATATTCCATGTCTCACTGTCCTCTACTTGAAGGAATTTTCAGTGAGTACTTGTTTACAATCATTAGCTTTTCATAAAGCATTATAAAAGAGGAGAAATGAGTAGTCTGCCTAGAACAAAAGCTATGTTGTTGCTTTTCAAACATAAAAAAGTAGAAATACATGTAATTCCATTTCTTATACTTGACAGAGTGTTGGAAACTCCACAATAAGAGATTCTAGCAAGTCTTTCAAGACCTTAAAATTGCTATATTAAAATACAAATATCCTGAAAAACTGCTATATCAAGTAGCTTAGTGAGGAGCATTTTGGGTAAGGACACAGACAAGAATAAAGACAAGGGGAACATGGTGACAGAAGGAAGATACAGAGGTCTCAACTAATTTACTTATTCTATTTAGAGCTGGCCTATTACTGGTATTATCCTGTCTCATTCATGCTCTTACTAAAATCAGCTTTACTTGCTACTAGCACTGGCAGCCAGGCCTGGAATTACCTTACAATAATTTGAGTCGATCAAAGCAAGGAGGGTTAATACGAGTGTTGCTTTGGTTACATATAAAACAACAAATTTGTTGAGCAATAGTTCTAATACTAAATTTGCTGGTATAGTCTTAAGATAGTTGATAAGTTTACAAGTTGTGTTTTCATTTTCATGGTAACTTCAAAAACTAAAATGCTAATTCACTTGAATCAAGATTTTACAATAGAGTACTGCAAACTAGATTTTGTCACCTAAATTTACAATTAAGACTCTGCACTGGCACCAAGCTATCAGGGAAAGTTACAGTATTTAATTAATGTAGTTTCTAAAACTAGAATTTGGAAGCACATTCTAGAAGACCAAGAGAGTTCTTTATAATGTGTGCATGCATTATTTAAGTTGAAAAAACAGCTCAACAGTTAAACCTATGAAGAGAGAAAAGACTGAGGACAGAAAAAAGCTACTATATGTACCTGCCTCTTACCCATTTCAATCAAATTGACTTAATTTAATGTTCATCTTGTTATTAATATTAGATAGTAAATTCCTTTTACATTGCATTCAATTATTATTCCAAGCATTTCTCATCCATTAACTTATTTAACCCTCACAATTTTATAATGAGTTTTATTCTTCTTGTATGGAAAGAATAACCTTGTCCAAGCTCACAGAGTATACGATTGGCAGAGCCAAGACTCAAATCCAGAGTATGTGCTTTTACTAATCTGGTACACCCCTTGTAAAAAGTACAAAGAGAAAGATGGATGGCATCTACATAACATAATGTGAAATTAACGTCAGTTGGATTATGAGCAAATGGAACTAGGCAAGGTTGATTAAGAAGTTTCAGAGCCATAGCATTGCATTCACCACAGTTATAGTTCATAGATTTATGGAATTCCAGAGTTCAAGGAAACCAGCATGACTCTCCCTTCTCTCTTACAAAATGGGGAATTTCTGCTGGTTTATTATGAATATTCCTTGACAGTTAAGAGACACCTAAAAATCAACTAATCCTATAAACAACAACAACAAGTTCTTGAAACATCCAGGGATTCTAATCACAAGTATAATATAGTAAAGCACATTAGATGGTTTTTAAGTTCTCTTGTAGCTTTGGATTTTGCTAATTTGATGGTAGATATTTCTGAAGTAAAAATTTAGCCTCAATGCTCAACTGGACTTAAGAACACAAATCTAGAAAACAGATCTAAAAGTATAAAACAAAGGCATATTAGACATGGGAAATTCTTAGGCATTAAACATGAGTGAACAGAGACTAACAGTTTGTATATTAAGAGATGGATAGAAGTTCCCAGCTTTCTAAATTTTATTTTTCCTCCAAAGTGATTATCTCTCAAATTTAGTCTTAGAAATATAGTTGGCCCCTCTGCATTCACAGGTTCAACTGCAGATTCAGCCAACTGTAAGGTGAAAATTATATCCATACTTAATATGCATGTTTTTTCTTGACATTATCCACTAATTAAAATAAAACTACACAGCATTTATACTGTATCAGGTATTATTAGTAATCTAAAGACAATTTTAAATATGTGATTATATGGAAATATTACATCATTTTAAATGTGATTACTTCAAAAAGTTTACAAAAATGGATTTAAAAGATAAGCTTATTCTGGTGCAAAAGGAATTTGAAATCCATGCATATAAGCAGTTTTCAAAAAGTTCATGGAAAATACATATTATGAAAAAGCTATGTAAGCTTACCTTTTAATTCTATTTTTCTTTCTCAAAATTTATTTTCATTTTATTTGAAAGGCAGAGGGGAGAGAGTGAGAGAGATTTTGCATTCACTGGTTCACTCCCCAAATACCTCCAAATGGCCAGGGCTAGGCTAGGCTGACGCCAGAAGCCTGGAATTCATTCCAGGTCTCCCAGGTGTATGGCAGAGATCCAGATACTTGAGTCTTCAACTGCTGCGTCCCAGGGTGCCTGTCAGCAGGAAGCTGGATCAGAGGCAGAGGAGCTGGGACTTGATTCAGGCACTCTGATCAGGGATGCGAGCATTCCAAGTAGCAACTTTAGTGTTGTGCCAAGTATCTGTCCCTTAATTCCATCTTTTTCTAAGAACTTTTAGAAGTACTCCACATAAGGGACTTGAGCACTGGCAGGTGGGAGAAGTAGTTCTGGAACCACTGACCCCACCCTACAGATATTGAGGGATGACTATACATGAAAAATTAAGATTTTCCCTTAAAAATTTATGTTGAATACTTTGAATTGAAAAACAGGAGCCAGCATTTTGGTACAGAGGATTAGGCCTCTATTACAACATGAGCATTCCACCTCAGAATACCACTTTGAGACCTGGCTAAAATATTTTAGACATGGCTCCCTGCAAATGTGCCTGGAAAGGAAGTAGAAGAAGGCCCAGGTATTTTGGCCCTGGAAACCCAGATGGCAGACCTGGATGAATGAAGTTCTGGTCTCTTGGCTGTGGCCTGGCCAAGTGATGAATGCTGGGGCTATCTGGTGAGTGAAAAACAGATGGAAGATCTGCATTTTTCTCTCTCTTTCTGTGCTTTACCTTTCAAATAAATAAACTTAAAAAAAGAAGAACTGAATCATTTTTAGAGTAGAAAGATCAGAGTATAAATGAGAATCACCTGAATCTATATAGGCATTAAAACAAAAACTTATCAGCAGTCATGATATGAGACTAACATATATCTGTACAATTATTAAACAACAGCAATTGCTTTACTAATGATAAAATTTCAATCAACATATTTGCTTCAAATGGTTATTATGTGAAATTCATTACAAAATAAAACTTAACCATATAATCTCCGAAGACATGAGGAATCCTTTACATATCAAAAAATTCACCATTCTAAATGCGCATTGCAATGTTTTCTAGTAAACTCACAAAAGTAGTGATATCTTTAACATAATCTAGCTGTAGAATGTTTTCACTGTCCCCCGTACAGCCTTATGCCTGATTATGGTTAATTCTCTAGGCAACCCCTTAACTCTGCCCAAGAGAATTACTGATCCACTTTTCGTGTCTACATGGTTTCCTCTTCTGGAAATTTCATATAAATTATTATTATCAGTAATTTTACACTAAGAAGAGGCTTTCCAAATTCTAATATATTTTTATATTACATTCCAAATAAATCAACCTTAAAGTTAACTGAAAACCAAAGTCCTAGATGTCTATTAGAGATTTCAGTGACCTCATCTTGAATGAAAAGGAGAATTTAAGTGTTTTCAGAGACAGGAAGAACCTGCAAACTTCAAATTTTTACTGCCACTAAAAATATATTCCGATTAAGAGAATCACTAAAAAAAAAGTAGAAGTATCATTTGTTGTTTGCTCCAGGATTCATACCAAAAAGAAATAAAGCTGAATTAGGAATCCTTAGTTTATTTTCTATAATGAGTCAGTTATAACCATGATATCTCAAAGTTATGCCAATGTTTACAAAACAACAGAAAATTCTCAAAGTAATAAATTACTGAACAAAGTAATAAGGTATTAGCATAGATACCTCAACAAAACTTTAAGTTTCAATAAATCTTCATTACATATTTACAAAAATAAAATTTTTGCTAGACACAGTGAGGAACTTTAAAGAAATGCAATGGTACAGTCTACCATTCAAGCCTTTAAATTTTTATTGGGGAAATAAATTACATGAGATAATTAGAGAAGAACTTAAATGGAAAGTAAGTGTCAAAACGTGAAATTCAGAGAATGGGGGCTGTGAGAGATCCAGGAGGGAGAAAATCTCTATGGGCTGGATGGATACCGTGAAGGTGAGGTTATCCTAGAACACTAGCACAGGAAGCCTGGGGCTTGGAAAGGACAGTGTTTACAACAGTGGTATAAGTGATTAGCAGTTAGGAACGAGCTGATGTGAAGATGATAACGCAAGAAGCTGGCCACAGTAATTTGTGTTGTCTGTATTTTCAGGAAGAGGTGTGTCTTTATAGTGCCTGCAGTAAAACTGATGGCTATGGGCAGGTCTGTACTCCACCCAAAGTGAATCATTTTTTTTTAAGATGTAACCTAATTTAGAATGTTAGGTCTTAGCACTGAGCCTACTGGTTAGGGTGAGAAGAAACCTCATGTAAATATCTATGGTTTGTTTAGTACCAAATGTAGAACTTGAATTTTTCTCTAAGCAATCGTATAATGAGGTAAGACAAACAAAAAGGGCTACTCATGACATCATTATTGTTTCTCCAGAAAGAGTACAGCAAAAAAAGATGAGTTTTGGCAGACTACAATTATTCACATCATTTTTAGATCCATCTCCTAAAAACACTTGATTTTATTCATTTCTGGGGCTCAATGTTGCCTCAAACATAAGGTTCAAATGCTTTAGGCTCACATACAATCGATTTACTTCTAAATTCTAGAGGAGTCTTAAAATTTTTAGAGTTGCTCTCCCATTACACTAAGACTTGATTTCTGGCTGGCGCTGTGGCTCACTTGGTTAATCCTCCGCCTGTGGCACTGGCATCCCATGTGGGCTCTGGGTTCTAGTCCTGGTTATTCTTCTTCCAGTCCAGCTCTCTGCTGTGGCCCAGGAAGGCAGTGGAGGATGGCCCAAGTGTTAGGCCCCTGCACCCACATGGGAGACCAGGAAGAAACACCTGGCTCCTGGCTTCAGATCAGTGAAGCGCCGGCCGTAGCAGCCTTTTTGGGGGTGAACCAATGGAAGAAAGACCTTTCTCTCTGTCTCTCTCTCACTGTCTATAATGCTACCTTTCAAAAACAAAAAAAAACAAAAAACAAAAAAGACTTGATTTCTGATACACTACCATCTTCACGAATACACAGAACCAGAAGGCTGCAGCTGAAAACAATGGGCTTTAGTCTGGGCACTGCCCTCAATTCTGCATCTCCCAGTCTGGGGGTCTGCCAGTCTAAGCCTTCCAGTAATCTCTCATTGCTCCTTTGAGGAGCCTAACGCAGATTCTATCTTTACTATGTGCATTTGCCTTTACTTTGCTGCCTCCCCCACTTCAGAAAGGCTTGTACCTTTCCTAACTAGCCACCTCCTGTATTTCAGTGATTCTAAGGAGCACAATACTTCGGCTTGTAGTATTGTAGAAATTAGTGAGGCTTGCAATGGATGCATATCATACTTTAATTGGGTGCATTTTCTTTCTTGGCAATTTATAATGTCTACCTCACAACCAGCACTTCCCTAAGATTTGGTTCCTATGTACACAAAATATTCCCCCACAGAATCATGCTTGCTTTATCAAAATCGTAATTGAGTGAGAAATTACTGTAAGAATAATGTATTTAGCAGTTCCCAAATGCATCAGAATGTCAGATTACAAATTGGCAAAACTTTTACAAGACAACTAAGTTTCTGGCGCTGTGGCGTAGCAGGTAAAGCCACAGTCTGCAGTGCCAGCACTCCATATATACACCTGAAGGAGTCCCGGCTGCTCCATTTTCAATCCAGCTCTCTGCTATGGCCTGGGAAAGCAGTGGAAGACAGCCCAAGTGTTTGGGCTCCAGCACCCACTTGGGAGACCTGGAAGAAGCTGAAGGCTCCTGGCTTCAGATCAGCCCAGTTCTGGCCGTTGCAGCCATTTGAGAAGTGAACCAGAGGATGGAAGACCTCTCTCTGCCTCTGCCTCTGCCTCTCTGTAACTCTGCCATTCAAGGAAATAAATAAATCATTAAAAAGAAAAAAGAAAGCTAAGCAACAAATTATCTGCAAATCCTTCAAAACTGAGATACGCTTAATAATCAATGAAGAGACATATATGATTTATCTGAAATTTGTTGGAATTACTTTTCCAAGCAGTACAAAGGACAGAACACTAGATAAGGAGTCAAATAATGCTCTCTGATTCATTTAGTCTTATCCAAAAATAAGAATGTAAAACATGATTTCCAAAATCTTTCAGTACATAGTCACTGTACCTTTCACTATCAATTTTTAGGGTAAGATTCCCCCTTATGTAGAAAAATGGAGTTTTAAATCTAGGATACCACTATAATTTTAGCAGCTGAATTTGAACCTTGTTTTGAGTTACAATCTGTTTTTCTTGAATTGCAAGAGATGAGACATTTTGGCACTTGCAACCTGGCATTCTTTCCCTTTCTTGCTGACTTCCTTCCTCTGACTGCTGCAGACAGGTTGCAGCAAGCAATGCACTCTCTTTAGTAGAGATTTATTGTGTTGAAAGGTTCCTTCTGTATTTTCTTCCACTGACATGATGCAAATGTAAGCATGTTTGTACACTGCCTATGCTCTCTATATTTCTAGACTCAAACTTGAGGGAGCCACTATATAACATGTATTCCTGCACTTAGCTTCACTAGTCAAACTAATATGGAAAAGATGTTTTATTTATTTCTATGATTGCTATGCCTATAACCAAATCAAGGATAGCTCAGTAAACTTATATCTTATACTGAGAGTTTATATAAATTGCATTAACACCCAAACTACAAACTTTGCTCTGAAATTCCTGAGGTTAATCTTTCAGTGCCAATACGTTATCATAGACTAATTCCAATAGGACTTGCAAACATTTAATTGTCCAAAAGAAATAGAGAACAATCTGATCTGAGATTCAGATTTGTCATTTTTTCTGTCAAAAGTGGTTGTGATTAAATCACTTTCATCTTCCCAAATGGTCCTATTGAAACAGGAGATTTCAGACCATCAAGGGTTTCAATCTATTCTCTGCTTTATCACAACAACACTATTACTCAATCTCATCATTACACACACTGAGTAAGTACCCTAAGAAGTGACAGGTTAAAGGATGAGGGTTGTATGTGTATTTGGAAAAGCTTCAAAACATGGGTCCTTTTCATTATCTATTTCTTATAACTATGAATGAAAAAGACTCAACAACAACTATGTTTCATGACTGAAGTTGAAAAGGTTTTGTTCGTTCATAAAGGGGAAACATTTACTTTCATTTGATGATACAGAAAGCTGTGATTTTAATAAAGACAACATAGTGGGGCTGGCACTGTGGTATAGTGGTTAACTGCAGTGCAGGCATCCCACTTCTGATCCAGCTTCCTGCTAATCCACCTGGAAAAGCAGTAGAAAATGGCCCAAGTACTTCGGACACAGCACCCACGTGGGAGACCAGGAAGAAGATCCTGACTCTTGGTTTGGAATCAACCTAGCTCCGGCCATTTCGGGAGTGAACCTGCTGATGGAAGATCTTTCTGTAACTCTTTCAAATAAAAATAAAATGAAATAAAATAAATAAATAAACAAAAGACTACATGGTTTATAACATTAGAAGCAAAGTGAATGTGGCAAGTGGTTTGTTTCAGGTTAACTAATTAAGATGTCATTAAGTAATACTTTGCTTTGCAAATTAAATTACAATTCTTCTTTTGAGAACCACCTATTTAAAGAAAAAATGTATTTATTAAGCTAATCATGGGTCAAAAACACATAAAGAAACTTCCTACTAGAAAAAAGGCTCATATAAACATTCTAGTGTGCTTTCATGTTAATAATTTATATTTTTTCATTTATCTTTTAAAAAATTCCTCAACTAGTGATTCCTTACCTTTCCACAGTAACACATTCTTTAAAAATATGATAGTGCTTTGAGAGATTAAAACAACCCTGAAAATATATGCCGTAGGCAAAATACTGCATAACAGAGGGTTCTGTATCCCAAAAACCTATGTTGTTCTAGGGAACCTGTGGAGCTGAAGGAAAAACCTCTGCTCAAATACACGAAACCACTTTCTAAAAGGGGTTAATCATTTGGATTTGAGGTCACTTCATTAAAATTCAGTAGTTGAAGTTTTGCTAAGAAAGTCCTTTCCTGGAATCAGAAATGTGAGTAGTGATGACTGGAGTTTAGAAACTGTAGAAGGTACACATGTGGAGGAGCAGGGAAGGCTGTACTGTCAGAGGCCTTAAGAGCCCAGCAGATGGGATGAAAAAAACTCTGGATCTGGCTAAAAACCCCATGAGAGTTTCTCAGGCATGGAAAGCCAAGACACTGTGGGAAAAAACAAACAAACAAAAAACAAAAACAATGACCTAAATGAAAGATCTCAGTGAGTGGAGAAGTGGAAAATACATGAAAGCAAATTTCTAGATATTAAAGTACTTTTTATTGGCTTTGAGAAAAATGGCATATGAACATGCTAATTATTTATTTTGGTACAAAAATAAACAAGCAAAAAACAAAAAAAAATTCTACATGATTTAAAATGAACAGAACAGCAATATTTTCAAATTGCTGAGAAACAAAATATATTTTAAAAATAAAACATTAATATTTTAACTAGCAAAAACAGTGTGTGTGGGGAATACAGTGGACAGAACAAATGGAAATATTTCTCAAAAGTGAAGTTAACACATAGACATATACCAAGATACAAAACTAAGTGATGGTGCAGAGTGTGAGAGGGGATGCAGGCTGGAGAAGAAAGTTGAGACACAACCACTGGCAAGAGACTCAGTCTCTCCATCGTTGAGACTTCATATCATCTATTGTACTCATTGCTTTTCCTGAGGTCTCCACAGTCAACTGTTTTGAGTCTAAATTTCTTTACCAGTTAACAAATGTGGAAAGCACCAGGAGCTAATGATTTTTATGTTACATATATGTATAGGTATATATTTTTTTCTGATTCTTCTTATAACTTCTTCTTAGTTTATAAATTAAGGTCCAAAGAAATTTTGAAGTGATGTGGTTACACAGATGGTAAAAGAAAGCTAGGACCAAATATTGACTGCTTGCCAAATGTTTTTATTATTGTTTTTAACCTTAAATTCAGAGGGTTGTTTTTCTCAAAATCTTACCATGGACAGTTATCAGTTTTGGTAATGTACATGGGAAAGTATCACCACAGATGTAAATGCAATTGTTTTGGGAGCTCAACACTGTAATCCCGGACTGATAGCTTGCCTACAAATATTATTTTACCACTTCATGCTTAATAAGAACCTTCTAAGAGTATGTTTCCATTTTCCTTTCTCTTATCCCTATTTTTTTTTAAGATTTCATTTATATCTTTGAAAGGCAGGATTGCAGAGAGAGAGAAGGAGAAAGAGGGGGGGAGGGATGGAGGAAGGGGGGGAAAGAGAGATAGAGGGAGAAATAGATAGATCTTGCGTTTGCTGGTTTAATCCCTAAATGGATGAATGGTTGAAATGGCCAGGGCTGGGCCAGGCCAAAGTCAGGAGCTAGGAGCTTCAACTCGGTATCCCACAAGAGTGCAGGGGACCAAGGCCTTGGTCCATCTTCCACTGCTTTCCCAAGCACATTAGCAGGGAACTGGATCAAAGTGGAGGATTCAGGACTTGAACCAGCACTCATATGGGATACCAACACTGCAGACGGTGGCTTAACCCACTTTGCCACAGCACCAGCCTCATCCTCTTGTCCTTTATGGTAATACTGTCACCTATTTAACTTTGATAAATACAACAGAACTCTGTAATATGATGTTCTCTGTTCTTTAAATAGTAATTTAATTATCTCTTAAATTAGAAAATGAGAAAAAAAACTCTTTGGTATTATTCTGATATTTATAATGTCTAACACTGTATTCCTTTCAAGCTTCCATGAACTGTTTGGATTCCAGCCCTCATCCAGTATCATTTCCTTCAGGCTGAAAACCTTTATCATTGCTTGTACTGCTGGTCAAGTTTGTTAACAACAGAGTCTCTCAACTTCAGTAATATTTTCATATTTGAAGGAATTTTTGCTTGAGATAGAATTTTTTAAATTACTTTAAAGACAGAATTCCACTGTCACCTAGCTCACATTGCATCCACCAAGAAGTTAATGATAATTATTATCTTATTCCCTTGAATTTAACACATGGTTTGGTCTCACCCCTCGTCACCACCAAATGAATGCTGTACAATTTTCTTTCTATCATTAGTCTCATCATTCAAGTAAACCACTCTAATGAGAATGAGGTAAAGAAAAGTTGATAATCTATTCCAATACTTTCATGAGAGTAGAAGTTTTGCAGGATGGTATTACTTATAAAATTGTTTATGTGTGTGTCTAGTTTTTATTTATGTGTGTTTCTGTACAGTTTTCTTCATATTTTCATTTCATTTATTTGATATAAACAGCATTCTCACCTGCAGGTTCATTCCTCAAATGCCTGCAATTTCTCCTCCTTAGGGACAAAGGTGGGGCTGGGAACTCAGCCCAGGTCTCCCACCAGCTTAGCAGTAACCCAATCACTTGAGCCATCACTACTGCCTCATAGGATTTATGCTGGCAGGCCATATTTACCTGGGACTATTTTTGGGTTCCTTTCCATTCCATTCATTTAGTTGTTTATTCTTTCACTAATAGCATACCATATTGATTACTGTAGCTTACAGTATGCCTTGCAAATGGGTATTGTGGTCCTCTGACTTTCTTCTCCTTTATTAGCCTGGGTCTGTAGCTTCTCCATATCAACTTTCAAATGAATTTGTCAATATCCATAAAATTACTTGCTAAGAGTTTGATTGGGAACATTGAGAATCAAGTTGGAAAGAACTGACATCTTCACAATATTGAGTCTTCCTATTCAAAAACATGGATTATCTTTCCCTTTATTTATTTTTCTCTGATTTCTTTCACAGTTGTCCTCATATATTATTTTGTTAAAATAGGTGTTGATATAGATGATAATGGGCTTTGTTTTCAGATTCTGCTTGTCTATTGCTGATCCATACAAAAGTAAGTGCCTTTGTATATTAACGCTGTATCATGCAACTTTACATAAGCAATTATTAGTGCCATATGTTTTTCTGGTCAATTTTTTTTTAGATTTTCTACACAGGTAAATGTGCCATTGGTCAATAAATACAGCTGTATTTCTTGCTTCCCAATCTGTATACCTTTTATTTTCTTTTCCTTATTGTATTAGCTAGAACTTCCAATATGAAGTAGAAAAGTATTGCTGAAATCAGTTAACCTTTCCTTGTTCCTAATCATAGTATGCAAGCTTCTAGTTTCATACCATAAGTACCATGTTAGCTGGTAAAAGTTTAAAGAAAATTCTTAAGACTATTTTAACATCCATTTCCTAAAATAATGCTTAAAAATGTAAAAATTGTGTAAATGTTTGTTAAATATAGTAAAAATCATCATGATTAGGTTTGAACTAGACAGCACATTTCCATCTGCAAAATCTAGTGGTTTTTGTGTGTGCTTGTGGGGGCAGAGAGGAGGAAGCAGTGATTCAGATTGCTAGCCCATATTACAATCCAGTTAAGAAGAGAGAGCATCTGCACATTTTGATGTACACACACAGTTCCCAGACAGAGGCTTGAGACTCTGATTTAGAAAAACATAGTACTTTTAATTTGAAACTGAAAAATATATGACTTGAAGAAGAAAACCTTAGTCTTCATTTCTATTTTTTTAAAGACTTCCTATTCTCATTCCTTACTTTATTTCCTCAATCCTTTATTTTTCCTCATAATTTTAAATCTCTTTATTGCACCCTTTTTACGATTTTTTTAAAAATCCTACTGGCCTATGATAAATTTTATGAAATAAATGATTCTAGTTTTCTCCCAGGATTTTGTCAAGTGTTGCAAGCAATGATTCATTTTTTCAGGTTTGATCTCAGTTAAAACAGTGTTTTAAAAAATGTGTGTGTGTGTGTGCGCTTTGTACTGACTTCAGTTCTACCATGTTGCCATTTTTTGCCAGGGTGAGTACCTTTTATCAGTAATTAAACACTTTAGGCCTTCTGTTCTAGTTCAGAAAAGGCTGTGGGGGTATCAGTGGGCCAGCTATCTCAACTCTAGTTACTAAAGTCAGTCATTTTGGCAGACATAGCTAACAGCACATACAGTATTAAAATATAATAAGGCAGTTGCTACAGGCTGGCTAGGGACCAAGTCCATTATCCTATGCTCTATCTGCATTCGGATCCTTTCACCTTTTTGGCTGATCTGCTTCCAAAAGTCATTTTATAACCACCCACTCTTCACCACTCCCTGGAAAAGCTTCATTGTTTAATTTTAAAATCATTTCTTGCTCTCATCACTCCTCCCCTTTCTCAAAAAACTTTGAGTGCTGGTCTCAGTCATTACATACAAGTAGCTCTTAGTGTGCTAAAAAGGAACTCTATGTATACTAAAAAGGAAAACTGAGATTTTGCCTTCTCATATAAATCCATGTTTAAATAGTTACAAAAGATGTAATTTCCAAAGCACTGTAAACATTGAGATTTAAAAATAAGACCTTACATCAACTCTTCAATGTGTTCAGCACATTTAAACTGCTAGTGATTTAACCCGACACCATCAAAATAAAAACCAGATTAGAGAAATTTTACATTATTTTTCATTTTTTCCTTGAATTTGTACAACCACCCTATATAACTGAGCATCCTATAAATAATTCTAAGAAGCAAAAATATCTATGTATAATGAAATTTTTAAAAATTTCATTCACATGTACCTGCTCAATGTTAAATTTCCCCAGGTTTGGTTAACATTAGGGTCATTTATGCACAGTTATATAAACATATTAAAGATCTTGAGAAAATATTAAACATAAAAAAGTTAAAATTCACTGGAAATTAATTTATAATGAGACAAGTGGAACTCTCTCTTAGACTCCCTCCGTGAAGAGTGCTTGTAACATAAGCAATTACAACTTACAGTATGATTCAATTTTTAAAATGCCATTCAGTTTTGTATTTTTGTGGCGTAAAGCACAGATAAATCCTGTTCACATAAATGGGTATAAAAAAAGTTTGTAACAACAGCAGCCCTCAGTTCTTTCAGATCTGAGGCACAGGTCAGAACAAGATGACAGACGATAGCTAAAAGGTCTTCTTCACTGTAACGCGGAGAACATGGCAAACAGAAATTAGGCTTTCCAGACCACACTCAGGAAACTGATGCTTCAGAAATCCTCCACTGTTTCTAACCTATCACTTAGCATTTCCCACTGCTCTCTGGTTTGGTGTGGTGCCTCAGGTCCTTAAAGTAAGCTCCACTTCCATCACACATGGATTCAATTTTAGGCGGCCAGGGTCTAATAAGAGATTTCCTTAAACTATCTTGCGTATGTATCTATGCCATGCACTTCCCACACATGAAGTCTTCTTATTTAAATAATTACTCTGATTAATTTGCTTCTACAAGGCTGATCATATAGCATCTAACTGTTACAATCATGATAACAGAGCTGAAGAAGGAAAAATGTTTGAGAATAGAAAAGAGCTTGGAACTGGAAGGAGTATAGGGCATCCAGTTAGAGCCAACTCAAGGTTGTGAAATGATAGCATTACAAGCTGCTCTGTTAACTCATCAGAAAATACAACCACTTGTAACCTTGTGAACACTGACTTGGGGCACAGAAATGTATAAAATAGAATACTGGGCATCTACTCCTTGTGATCTAAAGTAGAAAAATATTAATAGTTTTGTTAACATAATGGTTCTTTGACAGGGTAAGATGACAACACAATCAGTGTTTTTGTTTTGCTATAGGAGCTCCCCCCACAATTTATAACACTCTTTTCATGTTATCTACGATCTGGTATTAAACAGAGAGCTTAGTTTTGAGGTCCATACTAACTAAAATTCATTAAGATTTATATTTTTTTTTCCCTGAAGAATTTCATGAAAGTTTCACCTACTCAAGTTTCCAATCAACCTCTTGTTGCCCTTCTTATTCCCACAAATGCTGAAAGACTAACAGGACTCTTTCAGAGATGGTCTCTGGTACATTTTCTGAGACCTTGCATCTCAGGAAACACCTTTACTTTTCCTTCATATTTAAATTACAGTTTAGTTGGATAAAATTTTAAGCCCACAGTTATTTTATCCAATATTCTGAATGTGTTATTTCAGTTTCCACTTGTATCTAAGGCTGTTGAGAAATCAGGCTCATGTTTCTCTATAGGTTATCTGTTTTCCCCCACCTGAAAGCTTTGATCTTCTACTATTTGAATGCAATAACTGCAAGCTTTCTTCCTATCTATATCCTTCAGCTCTTTCTGAACCCTTTAATCTTAATTGTTGTATCTTTCTTTAATTCCAGAAAATTCTCAGTTACTAATTAAGTTAAAACATTTCCTCCCCTCAGTTTACTTCTTGGCTCTTCTTCTGAGACTTCGAGTGATAAGTGAAATGGCTGTCATTCACATTTCTTGAATTTTTTTACATTCTTTCTATTTTATTATCTTTTCTTGATGCCTACTAGAAGAATTTCTGGACTTGATCTTCAAATCATAAATTCATCCTCTGGTTACGTCCATCCAGCTGTTTAATTGCTTTTTGTCTTGTTTTGTTTTCTAGTTTTAGCAATTCAATAACTTTTGTTGGTCCTATTTTCACTCTATGAACTCAGTAATTGTCCCTATGCTCTCTGAAGAGATCATTTATAGTTATTTTAAATTCAAGTTCTATGTATACCATTGGCTCTGCTTTTTTATTCCCTTGTGACTCTTCCCTGCCTCAGGAGTAATTTTTCTGCTTGGGGGTAGGGGACCCCTCCCTGGCCTGTGCCTTTTCAAAGGAGCCCCCAGGAGGTCCCACTGTGGTCTCAGTCACTTCCTGTTTTTACTCTCTGATTTCATTCCCACCACCCAATGACCTGCATTCAGCAGCAAAGGTCTTAGGACCTCTACCTCAAGCATTTTTACTAGCAGGGGCTTTCCTGCTTTTAAAACAGTGTTTAATCCCCCAAAATGAGGAGACAGAAGAGTCCAGTTGCCTGAACTTGCTGCTAATATGCCTCTTCCCTGGGGCCAGGCTACATCACATACTGTGCTGATCCTAATATTCTGTCTTTAGCTGGCACTGGACGGCTACTCTTCTAAGAGCAGGGTGAGCAATTAACCATGGCACTTTGTTGAGGGGAGAAAACGCTCAATTAGCTCCATCAGCTAGTCTGGGCTCTTGATTTTCATCTATTTGAGAAAGCTGTTAATATTTCCTCTTCTAGATCCAGTATTTCTTGATGGTAAAATTGAGTAAATTTTCTCCCTTTTCATTTCTATTGACATCGCCCTGATTTGTTCTGGTATTATTTCTTACTATACTCTTAAGTGCTTATTATTATTTGCAACGCCATTCTGAAACTTCATGCACTAACAGGAAGCAACCACAGTTTAAGCATGCTTGAAACTCATGCTATGTGTCATGTTTAAAATTTCTATTTCAATTTTTATCATGTAAAGCTTTGTTTGCTCCATGACCTGGGGGTATGAAAGACCAGGAGAATCTACACAGTAGGTTATACTGAAAAACACTAGGGGTTTCAGAATGCCATTGGAATAATTAATGTTATAAAACACATTAAGCTACAACCATCAGTAACTATCACAACTTTTTATTCAGACCAGAAGTCTTATTTTCTAACTTACAGGATTTTTTTAAAACACGGAAAATAAAACAGACAACTAATTCAGCTTTTTTCCGTTGACATTGTTACATGTCTTAACAGAATTCTACATATTAAAATTGCATTATAAATACAAATATGTTGACTATGATCTTTCTTTTTTCTTTTAAAAGGCAGAGTTACAGAGAGAAGGAGAGAGAGAGAGAGAGAAATCTTCCATTTACAGAGAGAGAGGAGAGATAGAGAGGAATCTTCCATCCACTGGTTCACTTCCCAAATGGCTGCAATGATCAAGCTGGGCCAGGCTGAAGCAAGGATCCAGGAGCTTCTTCCAGATCTCCCAAGTGGGACTCCAAGTGCAGGAGCACTTGGACTTAGGCCATCCTCGGCTGTTTTTCCAGCTGCATTAAAGGAGCTGTGTTGGAAGTGGAGAGGCAGAGACTCAAACTGGTGACCATATGGGATTCCGGCGCTGCAGGCTGTGGCTTTAACCCATTGTGCAACAGCACCAGCCCCAACTATGATCTTTCTAAACTGCTCTACAGCACTGCTATAAATCATTAAAACTAATCCATTTGCAGTCACCAAAAAGAAAAAAAAAATGAGGAAACACCATATAAAATACATTGAAATTAAATCACTAAATAAAAGCTTTTAATAGTCCAATTATCAGTCATTAGAATTCTACTCTCAAATGGATATATTATTCACTAAACAGTAGAACCAACAGATACACCTCACTGGAGGATCCATTTCCTAAATTATAAGATCAAAAAAATCTGCTAGAAGATTATCAGGAAGATATGCTTCACGTATAAAGTGAACTCTCAAGAAATGGAACTACCATTTCTCATTTTGTTGTTTTTACTATTACTGTTTGGAAACTGTTGAAGTAATTTGTTTTAGATTCCAACATAATGCATATTTATCAATCCCCAATTAATTTCACAGAGATTGTTAAATTCTTGAGATTTCAGATTTTGTTCTTGCAAAAGGAAAAGATAGTGTAATGTACTTGACATATTAACAGAATGAAGCTAATATCCATGATTTGTTCCTATTATTAGGTTTGCAGTGTCACTTGCTCAATTTGTTACATAACCCGTTTTATTAGAAGAACTGCTTATATGATTTGCAATAAATGAAGAAACTGCACCCATGGTTGAAGCTTCTGTGTTTCCTATCTCACTCCTGCATAAGACTTCTCCCCAGATTCACTTTCACTAAGAGAACTGAGTGAATAAAAGAATCGGTATATAATGAAAGTTCTGTCAGAGAGGCCATAACAGTCAGAAAAAGATATTATTAATGATTTGTTAACAATTAATTCTTCAGGAACAGTATTAGGGCTTAGCAAGTAAAGGCGCCGCTTGCCTATAATGCTGGCATCCCATATGGACAAGTTCAATTCCCAGCTGCTATGCTTCAGGTCAAGATACCAGCTTATGGCATGGGAAAAGCAGCAGAAGATGGCAAGTACTTGGGCCCATGCCACCCATATGGGAGACCTGGAAGAAACTGCTGGCTCCTGGCTTCAGAATGGCCCACCCCAGGCTGATGCAGCCATCTGGAGATTGAACCAGTGGATGGAAGATCTCTCTCCCCTTGTGTCTCTCCCTCTGTCTCCGTAACTGTTTCAAAAAATAAATAAATCTTAAAAATCTTCAAAAAATTAACTCTTCTACAACAACAAATAAGTGTTTTTTAGTAGGAGTTTCCAATTTAGCACAAATAAAAAGATAAATAGCAATGTAAAGCCATGTTCACTGACCCTCCAGAGAGCATATTCTAGAAGAGGATGAAAGGAGGAAATAATTTTAAATAAATAACAAATTAATCTAGGTTGGGAGAAATCTGCTTTCCATGAAGTGTCTGAGCTAGTTCCACTTTTCTATAGGTCCATTTACTGATGCAAAAAAAACAAAAACTGACAAAGTTATATATTAAAAAAAAGATACAGGGACACTCAGAACTAGTCATAACAAAGTATAATCAATTTCATCAAATTCAGAGTACAAGTCTTTATGAGACTGAAAATCTTACAGCAGGTTCTGGGTGGACGTATTTTCATCCTGGTAGAGCTTTCTTTTCTTTCAAAAACTGTCAAAACAGGTCAAGTTTTTTTCTCATTGAGGGAAATGTGTCTGCTTTTAATCATATCTAACACTTCAGACAAGTTAAAGAAAGAAGAGAAAATACCCCTTCATAATTATGGAGCTTTATAATTACTGTGTGGTTTACAACACTCCCACTTACAAGGCATCTTCTTTTCTCAACTAAAGCTAGGCTCTCTCTGGATATTAAGTTATTCACTGGCTCCCCTTGCATCTGGCACTCAGCGCAGGACACAGTATATATAAAACTATAATCTGAGCTCAGATAACAATGGAGCACAAGCCAGGGAAAGCACAGTTAGCATTATTATACTACTTAGAGCATGCAAATAAATTGAATTAGGTAATTTATACAGTTTATCCCTTAGATTAATTGAACTTTGCTGGGAAAGACAAATCCACCTACAAAAAAAAAAAAAAAAACTGTTAAAAAGCAAATGAAACCAAGAGATATACAGAGCTAGATAATTGAGGCTGCATACTTTCCAAAATATCCATCAGTCTATAAGGCAATGATAAAAACAAAATGATTATAGTGATTCCTAGGGTAACTGGAAAAACTGTCAAACCCAGACTTAGATCATCCTTCAGTTTTTCTACTCATTTCACGCTGGATTCCTGGAAAACTACTTTTCCACATGCAGAATGGGGATGACCGCCACTTCCTAACTTCATAGTCTAACTTAGCTAATTACCTTCATTCACTTGAGCTGACCACCCTAGTGACAAGGGAACCTCTTGCGAGGGGTACAAATAGGATACAGCTTAAATTCTAAGATATATATTTATAGAATATAGAGGCCAGCACTGTGGCATAATGGGTAAAGTTGCTGCCTCCAGTGCCGGCATCCCATATGGGCAATACTTCGAGTCCCAGCTGCTCCACTTCTGATCCTGCTTTCTGCTATGGCCTGGGAAAGCAGTGGAAGATGGCCCAAATCTTTGGGCTCCTGCATCCATGTGGGAGACCTGGAAGAAGCTCCTGGCTTTGGTTCAGTGCAGCTCCAGCCATTGCGGCCAATTGGGGAGTGAACCAGCAGATGGAAGACCTCTCTCTCTCTCTCTGCCTTTCCTTCTCTCTCTGTGTAACTCTGACTTTCAAATAAATAAATCTTAAAAAAAAAATTACCTTCTAGACTCAGAGTAAAGTACTCATGAGTAGTAAAAATTTTTATTTCAAACTATTTGATTAAACATATTTATTATTAAAATCAATATGAGATGTTATTTGTGGCTTGGTTTAGGTACAAGAAGAGACAGAAGAATGAAACATTCTCAAAACCTGAGATTTAATTTTACGGCTACATGAATAACGCACTTTTATTAACTATCTTATGAGCTCTAACTTTCCCAATAACAGATATAAGAACTGTAAAACAGATTTTAATTCTCAAAACCTACAGACCATGGTTTACTTACTATCACATTATGAAATTGCTATACATCTTGAGTTGTGCTAGTATAATATTTCACTACAGATTTACAGATGCTTATAGATTTCCCATAATAACTATCAAAGATTTTAATCATTAGGGGGCACAATTAGGACAAGCTGGAGCCAGCTAAGTAACTCTGAAAATAATATGCTAACATAAAACAGGTCATCTACTGGCATTTAAAGGAAAGACCATTTATTTCACCTGAATCAGTTCTTTACTACCCAACTATTTTGAATGTGTTTTCACTCATCATAGAATTGATCTAGTACATTATCTTGTTATGGTGCAAGGGAATGGTAGAAAATTTAACTTTGACACATTACCAAAATTCCATGGGTAGAAGATCATATATTTACTCTCTCTCTTTTTGTTTAAAGTCTTATTTTTATTTTTTGAAAGGCAGAGCCAGAGAGAGGAGGCGAGACAAAGCAAGAGAAGAGAACTTCCAGCTGTGGGTTTATTCCTCAAAGGGCTGTGCAACAGTCAGAGCAGGACCAGGCCAAAGCCAGGGTCCTGGAGCTTCTTCCAGGACTCCCACATGGGTGCAGGGGCCCAAGGACTTGGGCCACTTTCTACTGCCTTCCCAGATGCACCAGCAGGGAGCTGGATCAGAAATGGAGCATCAGGGACTTGAACCAGTGCCCATATGAGATATAGGCCCTGCAGGTGCTGGTTTAACCCATTATATCACAGTACCAGCCCCTATATTCACTCTCTTTAAAATAATTTCCAGAAAAATGCATGCTCACTGTGGAAAATATCTATATATGATTATTTCTACAGATACTAATTTTAACATATGTATACATTCTTTTCAGTTTTTCTATAAACAGCAGTACATACACATACAACTATGCATATACGGCAGGTTTATGTTTTAGACTTCATATTGGAAATTTATTCTTTAATTTTTATTAACATCAAGAGAATAGACTTTATGTATTTCATTTACTCTAAGATGGCAAACGACTTGCCTCCCTGTCCCCTCCCCTCTTTGTTTTTTCCTTTAATTATTCTATAACATAATTTCAATTTAGGTCTGATTCTCTTCAGGCTATTAAAGAACAACATCTGTGTTACTGAATAACACATGGACATATGTACAGGTCCAAATATAAAATGTGGTCAGTTTATAAGGGAACAGATAACTGAGTTAAAATAAATAGAGAAAGCATTTATTTGTTAAAAGAGACAGAGACATTTACAACTTAATTTTAAATACATATTTTAAAATTTATAAAATGACATAGAAGGGTTTTATGAATCTGGCAGCTCCATTTTTTCCATATCAAATTAGCATAAACCAATAAAAAAGGCCAAATAAGATAATGACATAAATCAGAGTCATGATTTTTAGAATATTCTATTGTCAATATTCTACTAATTTACAATGGCCTGGTTTCTGCATATGGAACTTAGCATCTCTGTATAACAAAAGTGCTGTTTTATTCACAACAGTTATTGAAAATATTGTGCCTAAGATAAAATGGAAAAATAAATACTGTTTCAACAAACAACTGAATTCAGAGAGACTCTAAATTATTATAATGGTCTTCATTCATTTAGAATACTAGTTGCTTAGTTTCTATTTTCACCTTATCTGTCCTTTCTGTAGAATCTACTATATGCTTCAACAAATCTCTATGTGGTGCTTCTCAAACATTAGTAGGTACACCATTTATGTGAGTATGTTGTTAAAATACAGAATCCTCTGATCATCAGCCTTTCCTAGAAATTCACTAGAATTGAAAAATCTCAGATTTGATCCCAGGGTACATAAATGAGGTATATATACACTAAAGTTTGAGACTCAGAAAAAATATGTGTGAATCACATATCCAATGAAGAATTAATATCCAAAA